AGGAATTCAGTTGGAATTGGTGATTTCATATCTTTTATTCAGTTATTTTGATCTTTTCATTGTCAAACAATGCTAAAATTCAGATTTTCATTCTTATAAATTTACATTGAAATTGGTTTAATTCTTATTAGATTTTCATGGATTCAGTCATGCTTTTTCCATTGTTTAATCGAAATATTTGTTGAATTTCAATTTCATGAATATATGTTGAGTTTGATTTAACTTTTATTAAATTAATCATAAATTCAATCATACTTTTTCTATCGACGAATTGAATTAATTGTTGAATTGAAATCTCAACTATTTTATTGGTGTGATTCATTTACTGCTTTATACTTAAGTATATGATCGATTTATGAATATAATTTCAATAAAATTGTGTAAACATGTCATAAATCTAGATTCTATTATTACATTTGTAAAATAAACTGGTTTTCACGATAAATCTTTCAATTAAAGTGTTGGGATGAAAGCCTCTAATTGAGTTATAAAACTGAATAATTGATGTGAATGATCCAATCCAATTCAGAGAATTCCGATGCTTCACTGTTTTAAATTATTGATTTTTAACTTCATTTTTCTAATATTGAATTTAACTACACTCTTAAGAGAACAATTCATCCATTTTGGATCATTTAAACATTTTTCCATCTTCATGTGAATTCGACACCTTAAAGTTGCACCATAACTACCGCGTTATTCTTTGGGCGTAATCAATGCCTGAAATCTGCACCTTCAACATGAACTCTTAACAAAAGTTATTTTTTTAAAAGAAATATGTACCAATATACCGCGTAATTCGTTGGTCGTAATCAATGCCTGAAATCTGCACCTACAACTTGTACTCTTATAAAAAGTTATTTTTTTAATAGAAATATGTACCAATGTTGTGAGATTGAAATCACTAGAAATAATGGCTTCCTCTATTTTCGACAGATTGCATAAATTTATCAATGACCCATGGCCTCAAATAGTTGAAGAATAGGATCTCATGGGCTTTTGCTTGGTCAACTAGTTGATCCAAGGCTTTCTTGATGTTGGCACCAGTAGGCATCACTGAGGTTCGTCATCAAAAGCTCATTGTGTACGAGCACATCCCAGGTGAATCTGACATCGGTACGGCGTCCATGCAACTCATTTGGGGTTTCTAATAATTATATCCTACTAGAATTGCTCTATTTTTTTCCTCCATTTAGCAACGTCGACTAGCTTTTACTTCTTGAAGAACAAGTGTCATTTAAATGGGGAGAATAGATTTTGCTCTCTCTTTCCCGTAGTATTTATTATTTTTGTGCTTATGTATAAGTGTGTTTTAAAAGTAAGATTAAGTTCTCTCAGGTTTTTGCAGGGGATTTTTGTTCTCATTTACCAAATGCTGGACCACAGTGGTTGCTGCATGCAGACTAAAATATCACTCTTACAAGTCTCTCTTTTTTCTGGGATTCAACAGTGGTTTCTGCATCCAGTCTAAAATCTCAAAGTCCCTCTTTTACCGGGATTCTTTTTATTCTTTTTGTAAGTCTGTTTCTCCACCATTCCTCTATTGTTCATTCATTTCTTGAATTTTTGCATGTTTTTCTTGGTTAATTGTGTTTAATGCGTTCTTCATTTTGATGACTTTTCTTTTCTTGTTTTTTTTAACAGATTGAACGTGTGTTTCATGCAATCTTTTGGGTTCTGGAAGTTAATTCGATAACCTTTTCACATTGCTTACATGCCAAGGATATTGACATCAGACATATTCGTCTGAGAAAATCATGTCATGAGAGAGATTCTTGCATTGAAGTCCAATGCATTCATATAATTCAATCTCTACGGCACACAAATGACAATATTTACCTATCAGACACTTTTTCAAGTTTTTTAAAATCAATACATTTGGAAGATTAGTATACATTTAAGTGTACACTTTCTTTCTGTGAAAAAGTGAGTAATATTCATCAACTCCAAAGCAATTTCTGAACAATTATTCCATGCTAATGGTTTCCCTCTTGGTTACCATCTTTTAGTGTTTCTTTTAATTGCAAAACTGATAGGTTTTAAAAAATATTCCTTTTTATTCGCCATTTCCAAACTGGTCGCCCACTTATTTCAGTGTAATTGTTTGTTCATATTAAAAACATGTTCAAAATCGTTGAACGCTACAAATGACTCTAATTGTCTACTTAGTGTACCAAACATCTTAAATTTTCTTGACAGGTTTGTCATCAAGACTACCTAACATTTCCAGCTTGAATGTTTGTGAAAAACCTTTGTAAATCAACGAATACTTCACCAAATACCAGGTATCTACATCTTAGACCAGCCTTGTGATATGCTAGGTACCTCCAAAAAAGTTTAGTTTGCCTATATCTCACTCAAATTTACTCAAGGTCCTTTACCAAACAATCCTTTCACTAGACCGATATTATACAACACTCAATTTACAATATAGTTTGCCTGGTACGACCTGTAAAATAACTGTCTTTTGTAATATTTATCAAATCATTAATAAAGCTTGCAATTTAAGTTTTCGTTTGCGTGCAATTTAAGTGCATTTTATGAAAACAGAATAGGATTAAGTTTTTCAGATTTTATTTGATTTTAGATTTGTTTAGATAAGATTAGATAGGCTTTGTATCTTGATAAGTGTGTGATGTGTTAGAAGTTTGTTTTATAAGTAAATTGGTGTGTTGGAAGTTTCCATGAATATAAATATTCCTAGAATTTTAGCATTCCAATTACATTGTTGAGACGAAAGATTCGCCTGCTATACCTTGTTAAGTTGTCGCCATTTGCTATTCAACCTCTAGAGGCTCACGAACATTTCTTCATCTATTCTCGTGTATGTTTTGAAAAACTCCACTTTGCATTTTCATAAATCATCGTAAAAACTTGCAGGAGGTGGAGCTGATATTGCCTAGAGAACCACTGCCGAAGCAGAGGTATCGACTGTGCAGAACCAGATCGGCCCCTGTATGAGAATTAGGATTTTATCTTCGCATTCCCTATCTATCTATAATCTATTTATCTATGAACTCACTTGGCTTCCTTTCCCTGTGAATTTATTTCCTATATCGACATTTTACAGTTTCAACTTGGAGTTCGAGACTGGTTTGGTTATCTGTCTTGGATTTTCATAATCTATGAGATTTATTTAAGCGCATATTTTTCTGTAATTATTTATGTCTAGATAAATTTATGTGCTGGTAGAAGTCTTCCTAATTGAAAACTGATATCATGTAGGGATTGCTTAAGCCAACTTATTAAATTTTATTTCCAATAAATTTGAAGTCAGCTGCATTGATTCTTTCAGCAGGGCATGAAATGACTCGGGCTAATTTATGAGGCAAACTCTTGTATAGAAACTCTCAATTTTGCACCAGACAAGAAGAAAACGACAATGATTTTACATTGAGAATATAATTTACATATAAATGTTTTATTTTTTTTATTATAATATAAACATTAAGAACATCAATTTTATACAACATATTTGGTGCATTGAAATACATAAAATTCGATAGAATTAAAGAAGAAAGAGAGATTATAAATCTTGTCAGTTACCCTATTCAACGCTTTGTCCCTTTCTAGTTCAGCGTACCAAGCGCATCGACATATTTTCTGCGTATCAATCCTCAGCTTGGCACAAAAAACTGCATCAGCATTATAATCAGTTAATCACTGCAGTATAGACAAGGATGCTGCCTGCATTTTTAATCTTCCTAGCCATCGTCACTAGTTGTTTACTGCTCGAAGGCTCTGAATTCTCCTTCAAGCTGTTCCTCCATTCTCCCTTATTTGTTCATCTGCAGAAGTTTCATCAGTTTGACACCCACTAGGTAAAATTCCTTCGTCTGGCTTTAATGGCATGGTGCGAAATTCGGGCTTGAGGTCAGGGTCTGGTCGAGGCAGTCGAAACATAAGGCTGGCAACAGGTCCAAAAATCTCCAGCAAGTGTGTGGCAGTATGCCAGTATCTGGTGTGTTTATGTTCGTTAAGGATGACAGATGTTGGAGTACTGATTGAATTGGTATGAATTTATCACTGTGCTCTGCCTGATCCACCATTTGATTTAATGCCTTCATGATGTTGGCACCAGTAGGCATCCATAAACTTCCATCTTCATCTGTCAAATCCGAACCGTAACACGAGCACGTCCCGACTTGCCCAAACATCATTAACCGGTTGGAATAGCCTTTCCTTCTTTATGAACAAGTGATCCTGTGTGATATATATGTGTATCAGTTTATTTATATACGCACAGTAGGGTTCTATCTTATGATGTTTTAATTGTCATTCTTTCTACAATAAATTGATGACAACAGATTTGCTTCACGCTATGAATTTTCTTAGCTGTTGAAGTTTGTCTTCGCTTTCAAGATATAATCTCATTTGGCGATGCACTTGTCTATCTTGATAAACAAAATGTTTATAGAACTAAAATGGATAAATTTTAGAATAATGTTATTTATCATTGTGATGATAGAATATCAGTAATGTGATAGATTGAACAATTCAATTTTTATGAAAGAGAAGGGGAAGAGGGAAAAAAATGTGAGAGATAATGAATTGTCATCCTAAATTTTAACTTCTCCTTCCATAATCGTGCTTAATGATGTCGACTACAACATAGGAAACATACCAACAATATTCACTACGAATCAAATTCATTTTTCATCATAAGGCCGAAATTTTATCAAGCCTTTGCTTTAACATGTTCACGAATTATTTTTTTACTTTTAAGTAAAAAGGAGGACTTTTTTTCAATATCTCTTTACTTTCGTAAGGAAAAACTTGTTTCAACTCTGACCAATAAAAAAATTATCTAATAAATTAATAAAATACAAGTAAATTTACTTATTAACTTTTAAAACACAAAATTTGAAAGATGACGGCGAGAATTGAATACAAACAAGAGAAGTCTTATATAATTCCTTGAATTAATATCTCATCTAAAAGACCAGGTTCTAAGACCATTACTACAGCTTCACTAGCCATAACAAAGCAGCTATATGAATAATTTCACAAAGAAATCAGCAAAAGGAAGAGATGTTCATTGATAGATAAACTAGAGCCATAAATTGAGAATTGTGCCGCCTTCTGTACATATGTTTAACTTTCTCCACAATAACAAAAGAGTCGTGCCAAAAAAAAATTATAAATCTTTCCATACACCAAAGTCGGAAGTCAAGTCACTGGAATTTACAATACTGTCCTGGCATCCCATGAAAAATGTGCTCCGTACAGCATCTGTATTTACTAGAGCATGAGCCACTCCACTAGGACTGGCTGCAACGGCAATTTCATTAGCACCAATTGTCACCTCCGCAAATCCTTTTGCAACTGCTTTATTTTCCAGCTGCAAACCATGAATCATGATAGTAGAGATGAATACAAATCGTGAACAAGATACTTTGCAGGAAGAAACGAAGAGCATTAAAATACTTCCAGAGTTTCCGGTCTTATTCAGATGTAGAAAATCACAACGAGAATGAGAACTGAAATAACCGAAAGGGTATAAGCTACACATAATGGATGCTCGCTTTATTATTTCTTCAACAATGAAACGCAGACATTGGGGGCTTGCGTAAACACTTGCCAGAATAATTTTCTTTGTAAATAAAAAACATTGTGATAATTGGCAAAATTGGTTTACAATCATAACTCCGATTGATGGAGATAAAACGAGCAGAGGAGCATTAACAAGAGCTTTTGTTGAGCAGAATCTAAACCCTACATCCAAAACGATCTTTCAAACATTCATCTCATTCCACAACTAAATGCCAAAAGAGCTGACAAACACCTCCTGACACTATTGGGCTTCATCAGAATTTCACTGATTGATTTTCAAGTCAGATCACGAGAGATATCAAGTCAACCCTTCCCGGAAGATAAAGAATGTAGAAAATAATGAGCGTCATATATCTTATTCCAATAAAATATACACTATCATGCACGAAAACATCACGTATAAAACAATATTAATATTGGTTTTTCACTTCATAATCCACTATAATGTTCAAAGCCTATAAAAGAAACAAACAAAAAAAGAAGTTCTATAGGGAATCTTTGTCAGAGGGACTAGGAGAGGGGGTTTAGCTTGCTCCCTTCGTGGTCATTCTTTCAAAGGAAACGGCATCCAGCTCGAAGTATAGAACAAAAAAGCATGTGTTTTCAAGCAACACTGTCTCCCCCCCCCCCCCCCCCCCCCCCCCCNCCTTCCTCAAATTGCAGAAGAATCATAGTAAGACAATGTTCCATAATTTGGATTAAAATTACTCTCAATAGAGAGAAACTTTGAAGCAGCTTGAAGATCATAATTCTTTTTACATTTAATCATTTTAAAATATTAGTACACAGAATAGCTTTCGACCGTAAGGAATACCCAATACTGCAGCTTTAATGGAAGGAAATACATACCCTGAACACTGTCTTTGCTCCCCAAATAACAAATGTCTCATTACAGGTATGGTGCCTATAGTTTCCCCTCATGCCTCCAGGACGGATCTCCCCCAAATGAACTGAAGCACAGAAGCTCGCTCCTCCTGTAATATGACAATTCACTTTAGTGAAAATCACTACAACACAGAGACACTTAACAACATAGACAAGTTTAAGTTGCAAAAGCCATAAATAAAAATCACATATATAATTTAGGGTGGACAGTGCGCATAATCCTCTATGCATCCCCGAGTAGTGTGCATGCGCAGCAGCATATCAGATGCACAAGTATATCCATGATTCCTGTGACAGGTTCTTATGTTGTATGATAGGACTGGAGGGGCTAAACTAGATTCAGAAGACGGATGATTTTCAGACTTTAAGTACACCACCCTCTCGAATATATGGCCAAATTATATATTTTAATTTCTATAGCATGTAAATATAATTGTTCTAAGGCCTTCAAAGTTCAGAGACTACATATCACCTTATCATTACATAAAATGTACATGCATGCAATGTTTCTGTTTCTTTTTTCATATAACCTGGCGAAGGCAGTGTCCAAGTTATCTATCTGAACAATTCCTGGAAATCAGATTTATACTTCACATTTAAAACCATAATATACGATTCAGAATTAAAGGATCTATCTATGGATGTTAAAATAGTTTCTTGATCCATCCACTTGAAATTCTCCTTTCATTTTCATCATTGAACCAGTAATTAAAAGTTTTGCAAAACTCATTTCCAAAATATATAGCAATATGCAAATATTTCATCACGGCAAAGTAAATTATGTAACTGTTGTGCGCCTTGTATATCATGTGCCATTGTTGTGCCTTAAACCAAGAAAGTAGAGTCCCAGATTCCTAAACCTTATGCTTTCGCAACATAGCTTGTTCGCTCATTAAGACATTAACCCTTTCATCATCACTATCCTTTCTTTTCTCTGTTATCAATTATAGCAATACCAATCTAATAAGCATCACAGTTTTGTACATTTAAGCACTACAACTTGCACATTGCTCAAATATTAACCTTTTTACCATTTAGCATTTTCTTTTCTACTCTCTTTCTTGGATACTTTCACGAACAAATTATATTGGATAACAAAAATTTTATTTTTGGCAGAAAAATAAAATAGAACCTGTAATGGAAGCATCCAAGGCAAGTGAAACAGGATTGATCAACCATCCACGCTTATCCTTCATTACAACTGAAGAAGACGAGGGAAATTTCACTATATTAGCATCAGAATATTTATCAGAACCGCCATGTAAAGCCACCCTATTGCTATCGTACGGCGATTGGTGAAATGAAGGATTGGAAGAATAGCGTTGGAATCTGAGGGAAACCCAAGTAAGAAAAAGGAAAAAAGATAGTAGAAATGGAACTGCGTGAGGTTTTTTGAGGAAGAATTTCAGTGAATTTAAAAGGGTTGCAGCAGTTTGTGGGGTTTGGGATTGGAATGGGTTACTGGGGTCAGAAATTGGGAGTTGATTGGAATTGGAATATGAAATTCTCCTCGGATTCGCCATCTTCTCTAATCTAATTCAACATTTTTTTGGTTCTTTTCCCTCTTCGATGAAACACTTCTTTGCTGGACATTTTCGGTATTTGCAGATGGTTAGGTTTTCATTCTTTATGGCCCAATTTGTATTGGGCCCACGATGGCAAGATATGATGGGCCTAGCCCATGCCGGCCATCTTTTCTCCCTCTTTTGAAAGAGAAGAAGAAGCAAAACGACCACCTCCAGCCAAAAAGCAAATGTTCTATCGAGTTAATTTTTCCCAGTCTAATATCATTGATCAATTGAGTTAAATTTCCTAAAGCACAGTGTATTGTTAGGCGTTTTAATTGTTGCAGAAAACCTTGAAATTCAAAATGTCAAAAAGACCCCCATTTTTTAAAACCAATTTCCATAAATAACCCTTATATTCCTTCACTTTTAAATAACTTCCCACCATTTTATTTGAAAGGTAAATTGGGAATCTATATTCACATACTTGCAAATTTTCCCAAAAGTCAATTATGGTGTGTTTTTCTCATAATTTTCGATAATTCTATCAATGTGGTCCCACAGTCCACAAATGCAGAAAATGAAATTGGCCAAATATTCATTTTAATGGGGTTCAAACACACGCATATTTAAGGAATTTTATTTAATGTGCACTACTTTAGGGCTGTCCGTGGGTCGGTTCATTTCGATTCTGAAGAGACCCGAACCGACCCAAAACTTTAGGGTAT